ACAGAAAAACAAAACAAAACAGAAGCCATCTGTAAAGGATGAGTATTTCTATGGCCCTTCCTGGTCCAAATAAACACTTTGAAGGTTCCTGAGATGCTGTTAGCAGTTTTGCAGTGTTTATGACCAGGCTCACCGGTACAGACAGGCAGAGATGTACGAGGACAGCTCTGGTACTGGAAGCCTTACAGAAACAGTTAGCCTTTCATAATGTCAGGGATTATCTGTGCCCTGGGGACTGATTTGCTGGAGCAGGGGATGGGGGCACAACTTTCAGCTAGCTGTTGTACTAACTTCTTGCAAGAGCTTCTCAATGAGCATGCCAGATGTGTTCCGCAGGTCTCACGGGTCACTGAGTTCACTCCGTGACACTTCCCCACAGATTTATTGGCTTATAAATGATTGTTCAAGTCCTGCTTTTAGGTTCATTTGATTGACACAAGCAAGAGTTTCCATAATAAATAAATGTTCATCGAAGGACACATCAAAGAAATGTAATATAATATTCATTGATATTCCTAGCCTCCCCAGGCCCTGCTCGGCTGGAGAAGGGCAGTCCAAGGTGTGGGTAATGGAAATGGTTTTGACGTTGGCCTCCAATATCTCTGCCCCACGAAGCCTTACAGGACCCTTGACCATTCCCTACTGCTGGCTTTTGTTTGCTTGCCTAGTTGTGAGTTCCTAGCTACTGTTTTCATCTCAGTTGCTGCCAGTACCCTTACCTAGTACAGGTTTGATCCCTCAGTAGGTAGTGTTATCTTCGTTGTTCGCTTGGCATTCAGTGGGTGACCTGGCTGCTTCTATGGCCCCTCCGATTTTTGCCCTTTCTACTGTGAATGGTCACTCTCTTCACAAATGTTAACACTTAGTAATTTCTTAAAGGACCAGGGACTGAGTCCTTTTTTGTTATTAGTTTACTTAAGGAGTTTGGCAAAGTTTTTTCAAGAATAGGCCTGATAGTCTTTGAGTGGCATTGACCAGTGTCCTGCTTAGAACATACCAGAAGCGGGCTGAGATGAAATTCAGGGGCTTTGACTTGCTCTGCCCACTGTTCCCTGGATATTCATTGGAGGAGTTGAAGCACCTTTTTGCACAGGTGGGCAAGTGTACAAACCAGTTAGAAAGCCTGCGTGGGAAGCCTGGCTCTGCCACTCACTTGCTCCTTTTGTGATCTTGAACAATTTACTTTAACTAGTTATGGCTTCAGTTTTCTCAAATATGAAGTGGAGACAAAACTCTTTTATCTCTTAATGTTGCTATGGGGTGTAGTATCAATCAGGTGTGCTCAGTACTGACTTGGCACTTCAGAAAGTTTGCATTGTTAGCTGCCGCTGTTGTTATTATTATATATATTATATAAATAATATATATGGTATATATATTTTTTAATCATTGCCTTTATTTTTCATGCTTTATCATCTGCATCAGTCTCCTTCCAGGCTTGCAGAGATGTGGTACATAGCACTTTCCTCTCTGGATTTGTGATTGTGTGAATTTTAACATCTTTTATCTGCATCCCCCTCACCCCACCCCATTTGCCAGTGCCATCCTTTTTCATATGGAGAAGGGATGATAAAAATATAATAGGCAAATGTGTTTCTCACTTGTCTTCTTTCCATTTAAATCATTTGAATACCTGTGGTAGGCCAGTTTGCAGTTTGTTGAAATTCTGATTTTCAGATTTATGAAATAATGGTCGTTTAAGAATATTGAAGGAGAGTCGCTGTGATTCTTTGTTGGACCCCAAGAGGCTCCCTGCTCCTTCAGTCCACAGTATATAGTCCCACTATCTGAATTCTCTTACTCTTCCCTGAAAACCCCCTCCTAGAGATCCAGACCAAACTAAATCCTGCCCCTCCCCACCCACTTTGTGGTCTACAGACAACTGTCTGTGTTTGCTCTCCCCCCTTCAGGGATGTATTGACCTCTGTACCCTCTTCTTTCCACACCTTAAATCTTTAGTGGAACATGACAGGCTGTACCTTCCAATCCTGGTATTTCTGAACACAAACCTCTCTTTTAAAAAGGGGTAGTTATGGCAATAGGGATATGTGAGCAAGAAAAACAAACAAAAACAATCACAAAAATAGTCTTAAAGTAGCTGCTTGAATCTGAGTGTCCCTACCCCCCCCCCCGCCGCCCCCACCAGCCTTCCAGGTGCTAACATGGGCGTCTCTCACGTTCTTGTCTCAGTCTCTGGTCTCTCCAGCCCTTTGCTGCAGCGACACTGACTATAGCCCGAGTTTATCTGTGTCGGCATCGCATCCCAGGTGTGGTGCGAGCCTCAGTTCTTTTCAGGACTAGCTTGGGGATCTCTTCTGGTGTTTTCCCTTGCTTGCCTCAGGCCGTGCTATTCATCACTTAATTCTTTAGCTTGTTCCCACATCAGAGGGCCCTGGACCCTTGGCTGAGGCTGCCTGTCAGCCTCCCTGGACCTCCAGAGTCCCCCTCAGGCTTCCCACCATCAATTTCTGATCCAGCCATCTTGCATCTTCTTCTTTGCAGGGAAGCTCTCCCTGTATTTGAAGCTCTCCTTGTATTTGAAATGACTGCCTGGTTCAAGTCTTCCCTGCATTCATGAGCTCTTGATCATGAGAATGTCATCCTAATTATTTTATTTTGTTAAACTCTTCAGTAACGTTGATAGTGTCAAAGACACATTTCTCTGTACTTTCCAAAATTAACTCATTTAATCCCAGAAGGAGATTGCTGACATAATAGCACTTCTCATTGATTGAAACCTTAACAAAAACTTCATTTCTTGCACTCCAAGTTTTTGCCTCATAGATCCTTGAGTGGGTTTCTGTGAGTTTGAGGATGTCTCTAACTGTTGGATTTTTGGGAAAAGGGTATACTTTTAGTCTTCACTTAGTTTTTGCTCTTAGTCTTTATCCACTTCTTTGACCAGTTTCAGTATCATAATCTAGTATCCATAAAATGAACTGTTTCCACCAGAAAAAAATAAAAATGAAAAACCGATCATGATTTTTTTCCCTTGTAGCTAGATAATAAGGCTTATGTGAAGCCAGGGGTCTATTTTTTAATTTATTTTAGTGGAAAACAAATTAAATTACAGGTTTGCTCCAAAACTCCTAATCATTTTTTACTAAAATATAACCATTTTGCTAAAATGATAGAAAAATGGCAGGCAATATATATAAATGGCAAGCAATCATTTTAGGATACAAATTGTTTAACATTTTTTCCTGAACAGTAAAAGACAGTTCAAGGAAAGGTGAAATGCAAGCATTTATGGCAAAATGGAGGGAGCTCCGGGGAACTAGTAAAGCAAGTTGCAATGACAGAGACAGATACTGGAATTTACATAATGGATGACTTGACAAATTAAAACACTTGCAAAAACTAGCAATGTTAATAAATGTGAGGCTTCTGAGGTTAAGAGGGAGATGAGAAAGGAGAAAGGGACAAGGGGACATATGAGAAGGGGATGGGAATAAAAGAAGAGACGAATAAAAGGCAGGCTTATATGGTCAACAAAAAAATAATTAAGATTCTCTTCCTGAACATCAAGAAATTAATAGAATTTTAACAAACAGTAGCTGTCAGTGTAGCAACAGATACACGCCGGCACAGCAGCAGCTCAGCAGCATGTCGCCTTTGTTGATATCAAGATGGTTCTAGAACATGGAGCTGTGATTGACTGTCTAATGATTTTATTAATTGGATGATTCTTTTAGATCTTTGTCACGTACCATTTTGTTTAAAAGGTATTTAATTTTGGGGGGGTAAATACAAATTTTGTCTTTCAATACTGTCCTCGTTCCTTTCCTCAACAAGAAAAAAGTGATATTGAGATATTCCAGACAGTTTTGGTTTTTTTAACGTTAAAGTTTCCATCATCCTGTGTTCTTTATCTTTTCCTCATGTGTTAAATTTTTAGAGCTTGAAGAAAACATTGTAAAAGCACTTTAAGAACATTAGCTTGTTTCTCCAGTCAGCTAGTCACTTTTTATAAATCGAATACCCTGGGGGTATTTTAATTTTTTTTAACATAATTAGCATAGTTGCTTCATATTCTGACTGACAGATACGAAACCCTCCTGGATCATCTGCTGATTCTCACTCTTGGTGACTTGTTTTCTTAAGGTCTGTAAAGCTTTTTGGTTGTTTTTATTTTTGTCGCTCCCCCCCTTCCCACCTCCCTCTTTAGTAATCTGCTTAACCATTACTTGTAGGTGCTATTTTAGGCCTTAACAATTACTTGTAGGGATTATTTCAGACTTTAGAGGAAGTGTCTTCTGCAGAGGGGAGCGAGGGAGGACTTTGGGTATCGTCAGTGTGAGACCACCTCAGAACCTATGTTCTTGGGACCACTGAGGTAAGAGGGACCCAGACTGGAGACCCAGGGGGGCTGACTTGTGGCCAGTCTTTCAGTCTGTTTTTTCTCCCTGAGGGATCTCAGTTCTGCTCAGTGGCTAAGATCAACCTCCCCCGCTCTGGAGGAAGCGGGTGGGTTACTGCCAGGGTATATTTGTAGTGAGGAGGGGCTTCCAGGTGATTTTGTTGCCGATTCTCTTTTCAGTTTTTCCTAGAGTTTACCCTGGTTGTTGTTTCTCACTGTCCAGTGACTCATTTGTTTTCAAGAAGGTTTCCTTCCCCCCCCGCCCCAAGTTATCCAGTTCTTCTTAGTTATTTTCAGTAGGAGGGCTGGTCCGCATAACCGAACCTACGAGAGGGTGAAATCTTACTTGGTCTTTAATAATCCTCTGAGGCCCGGTGTGCAGATAAATGAGAGAACTGGTTTAATGGATGAGGGAACTGAGGCTGACAGGAGTGTGGTGATTGATTGAAGATCATACAAATAGTTGCCCAGTTTAGAACTTTGAATGAAACTGGCATATGTTTGAAGAAGTTTTCAAAAATGTGTATGATACCGTTAGGAAATCGTGTAGACCACTGACTAATACCGATTCTATTGGTATAGCTCTTTCCAGATATGACATTCTAAGTGGAAAGTAATAATTACTTTCTTTTTCTTTTAGCTGAAGTGAGTAGTGAATACAGTATGGACAAGGCAATGATTGAATTTGCTATGATGGATCGGGAACTAAACCATTATGTAAAGGCTGTTCAGTCTGCGATAAATCATGTAAGTTTGCGGTAACTCATGTAAGTTTACACTATTCAGCTGGTTATATTTGTTTACAACTCACTGACTCAGAAATAGAAACGCAAAATCAGAATTCTCCTCTAACTTTTAATATTTCCTTATCCTTACTATAGCAGCTATTCATGTCTTCTTAATCAGGAAGTTCACAGAAGGAATCTTAAATATTCTTAAATATTTTCCCAACTAGGCCACCTAAGTTTTAATTAGGATATTACATCTATTTTAGGTTTTCTTGCATTTTTTATATTGAAGATGTTAGTTTAAGCCTCCTTTCCAATGTGAGACTTTCATAAAATGCTAAAAATTGCACAGAACTTGTTTTTGTTATTATATTTGCATAAGTACACTCTGTAGACTAGGTTTCCTTACTCACGCTCCAGTTTAACTAACATGCATCTTTTGCAGAATTCACTGGAATCAGATAATAGGGCAGCGTTTTAGAGCAAGTTTAAAAATAAAGGTTGGCATTTAGGTTTTTCCAGAAGCCAAACTTATCTTTGTTGACTCCAGCTGTCACAGGAACCACGCGTCAGGCAGCCAAGGTGGGAACATAGCAACATCCTTTTCAGCACGACTGTGTTGAGTAAGACATGTGCTCTGAGATTGCAGTCATGTTTCTGAGAAGTCCTTTGTCCTCCAAGCAGTGGAAACTCCCCTTTGAGCCCATTTCATATACCTGTGTAATAGCATGTCTTGTACTTCCGGTTTCTTTATTTGACTTTTCTTTCTTATATCTATGGGAAAGTTCTAAAAATCTAATATATTACAAGATTGGCTACTATTCAGGGGAAGGTAAATATTAAAACAGGGTTTAATACTTAGCCAACTTGAGTGAGCACTGCATAATTATAGGTCCACAGTTACATTAAGTTTTTTCTGTTTCATTTTAGAGTAGTACAGGTCTTTTTTTTTTTTTTTTTTTTAATATTTTTTCTTTTTAAGAAAAATACCGGATGGTCTCACTCATAGCAGGAATCTAGAAAACTTAAATAAGGGACCAGGAAAAAGAATAACTATAAGAAAGAAAATATCAAAATCAACAAACAACTAAGAACCAGAGACACTCTATGGGGGGTGGGGGGCGGGGAAAGGAGGGCTTGGGGTCAAAATAAGGGGGTTGTAATTGTATGGGGAATATAAAAATAAAATTTAAATAAAATTTAAAAAAAAAGCATCCAATTCCAAAAATATATATATATATATTTTCTTTTTAGTATTAAGTGTGTATCTCTGAGTGACTTAATATCTACTTAATATCTTCTAAGTAACAAACTCACTCAGCTTATCCAGTTGATGAGTGCTGTGCATATCTCATCCACAGGAAAATAGCAAACTGACGTGTTGGGGCATTAGAAAATGCTTAGGCTAGAGGCTTTCAGCTCTAGCTGACTCCCTACAACCAGCCAGTGCCTACTCTAAGAGAATCCCACTTCCCTGATCTGGAGCAAGACTGGGGCACCAGTATTTAAAAAAAAAAAACTATGTACTAATGAATATCCAGTGTTGAAAATCAAAGACTGAAAAGAACAAAGATGACTTTAAGAATGAAGTTTGCCAGATAGATGAGAGTTGGGCCCATTATATAGATCAGTCTTACTTTAACACTTCTTCTATGGAAGTTATTGGAGAGGCCTTTCTGTCTTCAAATTTGATGCTGTGCAACTGTACAGTGTACATTATTCTAGATAAAAATCTAGATTTGTGGAGTTACAGAACTTAATGTGAACTTTTTCCCTATTAAATGTTAATATTCACAGACACTGCAGCTATTTTTTACATGAAGAATTGAACTCTTAACCTTTCAACAAACTGAGTCACTCATTAAAAAAAGGTCAAAGACAAGGAAACCCTCACCCTCATCCACGTTCAGTAGTTACCAGCATTTCTTTCATCTTCTGGCCTCGCCCCACAACCCCACCCTACAAAGGGGGAAAGGTTATATTTTAAGTTTATCATTCTTTTTAGCCCTAACCTCACTCTAGATTATGGAACAACTTGGATTTAGTGATCCTATTGCTTATCAGGAAGCATTGGAGAAGACAACATGTTTTCTGATGCAAAGTTGTGTTGTATATGTATGGCTGATGTAAGACCAGCAGTAGCAAATCATCATTTTATGACATTTCTAGGACCCGAAACTATGTAGGGACACAGTGTGGATATAACCATGACTTTGGAGGAAATGTTTTGCCCCTTATTATATCCTTTGTGATCTTTACAACCTTGAGGTTACAGACACTGCTGTCTTATTGCTTGTTTTGCTGGGGGATAGTCCTTGAGAGGGACTAGGATGATGCAGTTGTTAGGAAATAGAAATGGTCTAGGGATCAGAAACTTTCCAACCCTATTCCTACTTTCTTAATTATGATCCTGGATTAAAAATTTTAACCTTTTGAAAACTCAGGATTCCCATCTATAAAATTCTTGAACTGCCTGTTTCACAAGGTTATTGTATGAATCAGACTAGACACTGTGTATCAGAACACTTTGACATTCATAAAAGCTGATGGCGCTATAAGATAATATGTTTTGCAAATCCATATTTCCAAACATATTCCTTCGAAAGGTGGAGCAAGAGCTCTCTTAAAAACAAGTACTTTGCTTTGCTCACTGGATTTCAAGACTTTGAAATAAAACTTTTATTGGCTTTGACCTGTCCTACTCTGGAATTCAAGAACCTTATAGGATTAGATATAAGCTAGTTAAAGTTACAGTGTGAGGTGTTCATAATCTCTAAAACAAAGAAATTGTTTTAAGTCAAATTACTAAAAAGAGTGCAGGTAATAGGAACCCATTTAGTTTTTGCGCTGTCGTAGACCTTCAGAGTGGCTGTACTTCCCTCCCTGTGACATTTACCCAGGTTCTCAGCCACCCTGTGGTGTCTCTGCTTATGAATAGCTATATAGCCGTTGTAAGCTAGGAAAAAATTTAAGGAAAATGCATTAGTTTATTTTTAATTAAGTTGCTCTCCCCTGTTCTCACCTTTGCAGAATTATAAAGGCCATACACCTCTGAAAACGTTTTAGCAGTTAACTTTAGAGGTGGAATATTAGAGGTGTTGGTCAGTTTACCAACAAGCCCTGGGAAGTCCTACTGCTTCCAGCCAAAGCTCTCAGATTGCCTTTCTTTGTCCTTTGAGAAAACAGAGCTACTGTATTTACAATGCCTGAAGATTTTATTTGGAATCAGTATTTATTCCAGTGTTCTGAAACTTTGAAAAAAAATTAAGACTGCTACAACTAGTTTGTAGAGGGAATATTATGCAGTGAGCTCTGAAACAATTGCCCAATAGCCTGCAAGTCTTTTATAAACCTTTTCAGGAGCAATGGCTTCTATACCTGTTGCAACACTTTAAGACATTTGTATGGAACCACAAAGAGCTCTGTATGGACCTTTGGAGACTTTCACTCATGAGACCGCACATGTGATGAAAGTGTTTTGAAACTGGTAAAATGCACACAAACATGTGATGGGCAGTTATTTCCTTTATCACTGTTACTACCAGAGAAAAGCTCTTTCTCAGCTTCATGTTGAGAACAGAGTGATGTTCTAAATATGAGACTTTTGATGACTTAATGTCCCTCCCCTGCATATCTAGCTTTATTTTTTGAGTACATTGAATAGTGCAATGTGCTGGCTTTTTGTTCTGAAATGTTCATTTAGTAAGTATTTACTGGTAGTGTGCCTGGTGTTTCTAGATGCGACAAGTAGGAGGTCAATCAACAAAGCCCACATGACCCTTACCTTTGGGATGTCCAGGTTGGAGAGGGAGACACACTTTAGTGAGGAGAGAAACAGGTGCAATTTAACGATCATATGGCATGTGTGTACCACAAAGGGAAAACCGTGTTCAGAGGGCATACTATCTGCTGGGGGCATGGAGGACTCCTTCTCGAGGAAGTGATATTAAATCTAAGGGGAAAGTCAAAGGAGACTCAGCATGGGGATTGTGACATCTGACTTCTTGGTCGGTGTGACCTTTGCATGAAATGTAAGCATCTTCTTTCTGATTGTCTCGTGGCAGAGTTTCAGAATGCTTTGATCAATCAAAGCTTAATTTTAGAAAAGTAAGCCAGAGAAGGCCTACTTTTCTGTATAGAAAGTTTAAGTATATAGAGTAGTTGAGTAATGGCCTAAGGCCAGTCAATGATTATTCATTCAGCTCTGAACGCCCACTGCGCATGCCGGGAACTCTACTTAGTAATACACGTCTTGACAGCAGTTGATTTAAGAAGACTTTTATTACTGCTATTCTGCTTTTCAAGCAGTTCACTAGTCAAACAGGGGTCATCCCTCTTGAAACCAACTTTTTATCTTGCAGTGAATGAACAATGGCGGTCTGTGTATTTCTGATTCTGTGTTTATGTGATGGTTTAAAATTAAACCTGCAGTCCCATCTTATGGGCTTCATATCCATCTTCAGGTGTGTGGTTTTTCAAATAAAAGATGATAAAAACTCCAACCATTATTATGGGGGTGGTCCTTGCAACTTTTTTATAACTTTAGTTCTCATAGTAAAAAAAAAAAGGGGATGGAGCCATAAAATTAAATGATAAATGGCTAAACAGGTTCAGATTAGTTTCACGTATTATTAGCTGTCAGTGATAAAATATACATCTTCTGTGCTTTTTGATGAGCGTTCTAGTCTTGGAGTTTAGCAAAGTAACCAGAGCTTGAGAAACACATACTGCAGTGTTTTGTTTTGTTTTAATCATGATAATTAGTTATTTAATTTTACTTTAATAAGCTTTAAATCTTAAAAGAATTGGCAGGCTTTACCTCCATGTTGTTTTTAGTCTGTGCTGCTTCAGCATGTTAATTTACTGGAAAATCTAGAGCATTTGTGTTTTCTTCAGTTTCTTCTATTCTCGCTCTGTATCTCATAGATTATGTAAGATTTTAAAGCATTTCAATTGGATGGCTGCCACATACTTGTTTTTGTTTTTTAAGCTAGTGTTTTATAACAATCCTACCAAAAG